TCAATTCCTGGGTGCAACTGGTCTATCTATATGCCAGGGTCACTTACATATTCTAGGTATGAACATGCAAAACTCTGAAAAACTGCTAAGGTTTTATGTCAGTTAAGCAGTCTCTAACAGTAACCGGTTTCTCCCTACATGCTTTATCATCCACTTCTCATCTGAAACAGGAAATTTATCTTACACTTAAGAGGGAAAAAAACCTCGATATTCTTTTTACCTTCTCATTCTAAGGTATATATGCACACAATCAGCATCTCAGCAAGATCACTGGATTTCCTTCCAACATGGTTCTTACCTCAGTATATAGGTTTTATTTGAAAAGTCCTTGTATGTTCTCCATTGATAAGATTCTACCTTTCTTTCCATCAAAGGTAACTGTCCATCATAAGAGTTTCCCAAAGCTTGGCCTCAAATTGATTTTTTCAGTGTTCTGTTCATTATTATGTGAATTACTTGAACGTTTTTATTTCATCAAAATACTGACTTTATCTAAACATACACACACACATATATACATATATATGTGATATATCTATATATACAGTAGTTCACTTGCATTATTTTATATATAATCTTATTCATGGTGATAAGACCCACTTATATAAAGGTGGTCAACATCATTTGCAATTAATGAATATGAAGGGCAGACTATACTCTGATATTATTTTTGATACATGAGTACAATTTGATTTACTAAACAGCATTTGTAAATTATTAAATACATACATTTAAATATAGTTTTTATGGTTAATTTTCAACAGCAAATAAATTTCTAATAAGCAAAGACAGAATAAATATATCTGAACATTGCCATTGAAACAAATAAGTAACAAAAGTTGGATACTATTGTGTTAAAATTAGCAACATATCTTGGATTTCATTCAAATAAAATTTATTTTAGAACATATTTTTATTTATGAAAGGTTTTGATGCACCCACATTATTTTCATGTTCCCTACATTTAACTTCTTTTCTACCATTAATTCCTTATATGAACATGATGCATAATAACAATGAACCCATTTTTATACATTAACTAAAGTCTTTCCCATGTGCACATTTCATTGGATTTAACTTTTCTATGTGTTTCAAATTAATTTGAAAACTAAACTATGAATAAGAAAATCACTTGAGTTTGTGTTGCAGAGTTGGTTTAGCATTTCAGAAAACTGGCAGGTCCTGCAGAGAACCCAGATTCTGTTCCAAGTACTCACATGGAGGCTTACAATCATTATTAACTCCCATCTGAGGGTATAGAAGCCCTATTCTTAGACATGTAGTGTACATACATGCACACAGGCAAAACAAACACATAAATAATAAAATAAATAAATAAATAGAAGAAATCTTAAAATATTAATTATCCAAATGGCTCTTAGATAATACAGGGACATTTCTGTGTTATTCCATGATCTTTGTCTTTTGTCTTTTTCTTTCCTCGCTTATTTTAAGTTATAAGCTGCAATAAAGAAACACTTCTGTTTTTAATTCTCTCAGTCAGTCAGACAATGTAATGTCTCACGCCTAGACTTCCTGCCTGCTTGGAACTTTCATTTTGTACAGCTATTGAATTACTATGACTCCTCTGGAACTGGAGTTAACACTGCTTATTCTATGCTTCTATTGCTAAAGCTGCTACATTTGTTAGTCTATGCAGGTTTTCATGGGGGCTCATTTTATCAAACAATGTAATCAGATTTCCGTTGCACCTCCTTTGATATGTAACTTAATTCTGTGTTTGACTAAATGTCATCTTTCATTACCTTTATGTAGATATGGAATAATGAGCTTAAGTAACCAACCCATTTAGTCCAGGGAAATTATATAAAATCAAAGTATCAGGGTCTTTCTTGCATGTGTGCATATATTTTTACCTAGATACACTTTTAAACTCTTCATCTCGTTTTTCCCCCACATATTGCCAAATTGGAATGAGTTTCGTATTGTAACAAAGAGAATTTTAGGTATCATTTGAAGTTTCATAATTTAGCATTACAATTTTCATGATGAAAAATGATTGGATCAGTAAAATAATACTAGCAGCATACTTTGTAAATTTGTTTAATTATTTAGTACTTTGGTCATAAGACATTATCTTATGTGATGACTGTGTAAAATTCACATTACTTTCTTTTAACTTAACTTGTGAGTAGCCCACAGCTTGTTAATATTTCCATCACAAGGGGAAAATAGTCTCAGAGTCAATACATCTTGTTTGTTTTCAGTACTTGTAAAGAGTAACTACAGAATGTGAGGTGAGGACTAATCCATGTCCTAAGTATTTCTTCACTTCAGATATCAAGGCCACTATGGAATTTGCTATATAGCAATGGTTAATTAGAGTAACAAATGCAGTTTAAAAACCACTTCCAATTGAAATTCAAGCCCCTTTTCTCTGCTTATAAACTATTGGAAATATAAAAAGATTGTTTTAATGTGTCATTTACTATAATTCTTTATAGCAGCAGTCATTTATATTTGTATAGATGCCACTATTTCTTGGTTTCTTACTCATCATGCCATTTATACCTTTTAAATCTTTTGCTTTGGGAAAAAAAAACAAGTATGCAGTTGTGGGAGCTGAAAACCAAAGTGGTTATATAGCATAACTAAGATTATACAACCATTTATCTTACAGAGACATAGCATGTCTCAAAGGAGCTTATGCATAACTTTATCAGAAACAAAATAGTTTTAGTATGTAGGCTTTTAATGTTTTTCAGGGTACTTGTTCCTGTGAAGCCTCAGAGATGAAACTATACATGCCTACTTCTAACAAACCATCACTCAATTATAAAGAAACATCTTTCTTTAAAATAATTTTCATTAGTTGATACTGAAAACTAGTATGTACAAAATGTTAACTGAAAGAAAATTCTAAAGCAGAAATACTTTAAAAGTTGGAATTATAAAAGACATTGAATATGTCTGGAGTAAATTATTGACAGTAACAATGTGAATGTGACCTTACACACAATGTGTAATATACAGAATTAACTTAGGCATGCATCAACAGAAGAATGTATAAGAAAGTGTGGTATGCCTTCAGAATGGAATATTATGTATCCAAGAAATAGGATGTAGTCTTTGAATATGTGGTAATATGGGTGAAATGAGAAGATGTCACATAGAATAATTCAGGTATAAAGACAGGAGCCTCATGTGGAATATGAACACGTTTATCTCATAGAAGTAGAGCATTGAATTGCGGTCACAACACACGAATAGAAATTGAGAGAATACAGAGAATAAACAGACACTAAGAGGGGAACAAGGAAATAGAGGATACAGAGAGCTTAGGGATTGAGTGTAAATTTATTTATGTAGGAGAATAACGACTTGTAAGACTTATACATAGAATGGGGTGATGATAACAATAGCTTAGTGCATTTATCAAAGTATTGGAAGAAAATATTTTAATAGTTTGAGTCAGGGTATAACATAGTCCTGAAGTAGGTTGAAGACTGACTTCAAACCTATTATGTAAATGAGGCTTGTTGTAAATCTAATCCTCCTGTTTCTAACTTCATACTACAGCGATTATAGGGTGTGACACCAGGTCTAGCACAGAAAAAATTACTTAAATGGTCACAATAAACAATGAAAATATTTAGCTTTATGCATATGCTTGAAAATGTGGAAATACAAGGGTTATTGCTTCCTCCTAATGATGAGAGTCAGAATTCCTGGAATCCTCTCCAAGTTTCCCTGGTCATAAGAAGCATTTCTCCCAGCACACACCAGTGGAAATGAAGCCCACCAGGTTTGTCAATGCTTAAGTGTAAAGTGGTTTGCTGTCCTGTTTTTGGAGTAGTCTGGGGAAGGAGCATAGAAGTGATAGTGTTTCAGTGAGGAAAGTAAGATGCAGTCTTAATGAGTGGACAAAGAACAGCTGTGGCTGAGAATGCCCGTGTGTCTATTCTTGATAAAGTTTCACTTTCACAGTTGAACAGTTACGTAAGGAAATTAAACTTTGGGTTTTTCCATTAAATAGTAAGTTCAAATTGTTGACTTTGAAACTTGAGAAAAATAATTAACTCAGTTACAAAAATGTTTGTATACCTGCTACTTGAAGTACAAATCCATGCTGCATGCCCCTGATCCAAACTTAAGGTTGAAGAATCAAGCCTGTTGGGATTCAGCCTCTTCCCACAATCAGCACTTAAAACTCAGCATTGGTAAGCACCTGATTACTACTTCGTTATAAGATCCTGCCTTAAAAATAGATCTATAAGCCGGGCGGTGGTGGCGCACGCCTTTAATCCCAGCACTCGGGAGGCAGAGGCAGGCGGGTCTCTGTGAGTTCGAGGACAGGCTGGACCGATAGCCTCCAAAACAATACAGAGAAAACTTGTCTCTTAAAACAAACAAAAAATAGATCTATATATATATGAATATAACAACAACTAGTGCAAAAATTAGGTCATTAAATTGAAAAAGAGCAATGAAGAGACACATGGAAATGTTTGTAAGGAGGAAAGGGAAGAAGAAATAATGTAATTATAATATCAAAGATAAAAGAAGTAATTAAAATGCATACGTTATAGAACTACCTATATGAATCTATAGGAGTTTTCCTAAATGCTATCTTCATGAGGGTTTGCTAAATGTCTACCACAGAAACACCTTCAAGTTTTTGATCATTAATAATAAAATAATGCAGTTTAATATAATAGATACACTTACAACAAAACTAATTTTCTTTCAAATATCAGGAAATTTAGAATAAAAATTTGTATGTTGTAATTCTTAACTAAAAAATAAAGAGATAAATATTTCAACAATAATGATTAACTCCGAATAAGTAAGAAAATTAAGAATATGTTTTCCTTTAGCTGCCTACTCTTTCCCTTAAGTACCTCCATTGACTAGACCTCAGATTACTTTAAATTACTTAGTGATTTATAAACAACTGACAACTATTAGCCTTTCATTACTGTAGGTATCTATTTTTAATAGTTGATTAAGGAATAGGGTTTGGTGAAAATATCACTAACCTCTATGAGAAATCAATTTGTCAAATGATTCAGCCCATTTCACTGCTTCTTCATGGGAGACTCTGTGCAGAAAACAAAAGGATTGAGGATGAGGTGAGCAGCATGTTCACCTCTGAATCTCTGCAGATGTTCTGTAGCCTGTGCTCTCCACTGATAATCCGTAGGCTCTTTTCTATTTTTCTAAGCCCGAGTCAAACTGGCAGTGCAATCTTTAAAACCAGTCAGTTTTCCTTTGGATTTTCCCGATTGAACAGGTTTTCCAAAAGTGCCAAAATTGTTTTAGCTTTTAAATAACAATAGTAAAAAGCGCACAGAAGACAGAAACCAGAGAGAGAGAGAGAGAGAGAGAGAGAGAGAGAGAGAGAGAGAGAGAGAGAGAGAGAGAGAGAGGCAGAGACAGAGACAGAGACAGAAAGATCAGGTAAACTACATTTAAAAAGTGTTCAACAAATAAGAATGCTTAAACTATATCTTTCTAAGTCCTTTCATTAAAATGCAATTTCCTTGAATCTGTAACTACAAGGTGCTGGGTTTTATTTGTTTGCTTGCTTCTTTTTTCTTTCTTTTTTTTTCTTGCTCTCTGTCTTTCCTTTAAATGCATGAAGGTTGGTGATGTTTCAAGGCTGTAAGATAAAAACTATTTTTAATATGATTGGAGATGCCAATAAAGGAGAAAGTGAAATGTTTTTATATCTTTAACTAGACATATTCAAAATTTGAATAACTGTAAGCTACTATGTAAGCCTAATTTTATTATTTGAGTTAAGAAAATGCTTAATCAAATTACAAAACTTCCTTTGTGTATTCTTTGTTGTCATGCATAAACTGTTTTCTTAAAAACTTCTGAGGAAATAGATAAATAACCTTTTCTCATGACAAATTTGCAGTATTTAAACAATGTAACATTTCATCAATTTATGGGCTACAAAATGTATCATTTAAAATGGACATGCCCCTTGACTCCTCACAAGGGCTGGGTTGGGGGAGAGGTCAGGGGGAGTGGGAAGAGAAGTGGGAGGGAGAACTTCAGTTGTAATGTAAAATGAAATTAAAAAATGAAGTTCTTATAATCATTTTATTTGAGTTATGAAAGTCATTGAATCTTAGAACTGTTATTTGTTCTGTGAAATAAAATGTTGAACTATGTTCATGTTGCTATGTAATTTTAAATAGTATGTTTATTCTTACATTTTCCCTTAATCATGAATTACAGAACCAGAAAACTATGCTTATAAGGAATTCATGCTCCCCACCTTGCTTCTTTGGCCAACAGGGCAGATCTGCTGGTGGGAGTCTCCCCATGGAAGTCAGATCTCTGTAGAAGAAGACTCAGTCTATTTCTTTTCTCTTTAGCTCTGTGAAAACAATAATACATTCAGGATAATTCTTACTTCACAGACATCTTATTTAACCTGTGCAGTAAATTTGGAATTTATAAACACCTACCTTCATTAAAAAATGCAGCTTCTTTTACTCATGAGTTTTACTTAAATTTTAAATAGAGGAATTGCCATAGAGTACACCACATACAATTCTGTCTTACTTTGGCAGTCAAGTATTTGAGAGTCCATTTCATTAATTATTATTTTAATACTTGATGTGGCTAAAATTATTAACCTTTTAAAAATGAAGCTAAATTGGACCAAAGGCCCTCCATTTTTGGCACTACAATCAATATATTTTCAACAAAGTATTTAAAAAGTCAGAGCTACAAATATTCCTCAATAAAGCATTTAAAGTACAAGCATGACTTAAACATTTCTAAATTTACCTGATTTTGGCCTCGATGCTTGTTTCTTCTTTGCCTGACCCATGCATTAGTTTGAAAAAAGTTTTCTCTTTTGACTCACACATATTCAGATGAGCAAAGAAAACCAGTGACATTTCCATATTCTGTCTCAACAACCAAGAGATGTCAGATTCACTTAGTGCGCCTCTCTCCCACTGATGAATGCTGTTTCATAGTTACACATGGTCAATAAAACACTAGCCTGAGCCTTTCCCCGCTCTTACAGAAGAAAAGACCAGGAAAGAAAGTGAGCTGTGTTTCTGCCTCTGCAAGCACAGAAATGAGGAACTCAAGATTGGTTCTGTACTGCGTTGTTGAAGGAAATGATACCACACATTCTCAAAACCACTTTTGGCCTCCAAGATAAAAACTGGCATTACCACAGTGCAACTTCCCTTTCAAGCCTGCAGAGAGAAGTTTCAGCTAAAGTGAACAAATGAACGGTGCTGTCATTTCCCATTGGATCTCAAATGTCTTGTGGCAAGTCATGTTATCAAACATTAGCAGCTCAGTTTTGCTCTTTAAAACTATAATTTTATTTAGTTCTAGTAAATTGACTCAAATTATGTTTTATCACATAATTCAGAGTAGTGTTGATTAATTATATTTGCTTAACATATTGTATCAATATAAGACAATAGGTCACCATTTGTGAATGAAAGGGAAAATAAAACTCATGATTTAAGACAAATTAGAATTATTTGGATAAGTCTGTGAAATGAAATGACAAAAGTAACATGGAAAATTTAATAGCATATTCTTATATTTTTGCAATATAAAGTATATATCTCCTTGGAATTTGGCACCTTAACTTTTATGGATTAAATGTTGTTCTTAATGAAATAGTTCAACTAGAGTGACACTTTGTATGTTGATGCATTTTATACCCTTATTCCAAAAGAAAATTTATTTATCAATTTTTATTTTCTCTTTCATTTTCTAAAAGTCTGAGAAATATTTATTTAGCCCAGACCACATTCTTTTATAGAAAAATAAAGTAGGACTCAAAACCTTAAGGAGGTCAGTGAATGATGGGAGTTATCAGTGTGTGATCAACAGTGTAAGTAAATCTTTATATCAACTTTTGATTAAGTGTTGAGTGCTTTTCTTCACATAAATTGTATGTTAAATCAAAATACACAAATACACAAGAAAATCTATTTCCATTAAAATTTTTGATTTAACAAGACAATATTTAATAAGAAGACTAGCTTGGAGTTTAAAACACTATTTGATACTAAGGAACATTGGTGTATTTTTTCCTTTTTGTACTTATAGAAACAATCTTTTTTTTTTGGTTTTATGAGACAGGGTTTCTCTGTTTTTATAGAAACAATCTTATCGTACATATCAACCCTCCCATTTCCTTGCCCTGCCATCCTCCCTCCCACCCAGCCCCCCAACCCACCCCTCTACCCACTCCACAGTGAGATCCTACAAAGATGACTATATACCCAAAGGATGCATTTTCATACAACAAGGACATATGTTCAACTATTTTCATAACAGCATTGTTTGTAATAGCCAGAACATTGGTGTATATTTAAAAATAAAACTTCCAGATCCATGACTTTTATTTCAAATTCATTTTTTAAAATTCTTCACATTGGCTTAAAAACTCTTTGATAGGGGGTAGAGAGGAAGGGGAACTTGGATTGGTATGTAAAATGAGAAAAGATTGTTTTTAAAATAAAAATGATAATAAGAAAAAATTCTTGCAAATATTACATAGAACATAATTTTATGGCAACTGGATGCTTAGAATGATTGTGGTTTCCATCCTGATTTCTTCTGGTATATATGAGCATCCACCACTGTTTTATTAAGCTAATTCTTGAGGAAAATGAATTCAGGTATTTGGGTAAGGCAAAAAAAATATTAATGTACTACACCGAGAGAAGTTAGAGATAAACTTGAGTATCTGTGTGTGAGTGTGTGTGTGTGTGTGTGTGTGTGTGTGCGCACGTGCACGCACGCACACATGTGACAGATATGAAATGAGTGCAAGATAAGCTCTCCACCATCTGGTAGAACTTTGAGAAAAGAAGTTGTGTAATTATGGCGGCAAGTGCATTACTTCAAAAGTAGATGTGTGCTGACTCTGCGTGTGTGGACACACCAAGCCAGAGCTGGGGAAGATAAAAAGATGGCTGCCGACTGATGACTCCACCTAGTGCACTCTTTATTATACACAGTCAGTTGTCTTCTAAATGGTTGATAGAAACGATAAAGAATAGCCATTTTTATTTGCCCACATTTCATTTTCCTGCTTTCTTTATTCCTTCATCTAAGAGTCTCCATCTGGCATCACCTTCTAAAGGCCCTTCTTGAACAGTTTCCTTACATAATGTCTGCTGATAGCCCATTTCTGAAGCTCTTTGTATAGCTTCATTGTGGTGCAACTAAATTGAGCTATTTAGCATATGCATTACCACACATGCATATTTTTTCAAGAAGAATATATAAAATTCATTCCTTTATCATTTTTATATATGTAAGATTTGTGAGAACATATGATATGTCTTTTCCTCAAGTTCATTTAGGGAAGGAGTATTTTCTCGAATAGACTACAGAATGGCATCTTTTTTTCTTCTTTAGTACTGTGAAAGAGGTTACATATTCATACTTTATGCATTTTGTGTAATGATTTATATTCCAGATGTCATATTTTGCTCTTGTAGATGCTTTTCAGAATTTATGTTTATATTTGTTTAAAATATTTTATTGAAAAACATATACATATAAGTAACATTCCATATTTAGTAGGTTATATTTATGTATTTAGGAATATATACTCTCTATATATATGGGGGTTTATGGAGAAAAAAGGAAGCGGTAAACGATGTAAATAATTTTCAGAAATAATAGAAATTAAGAAAAGACATACATGCAAATTGAGTCTTCAATCTTGTCATATACAATAGCATGTATATGATGAAAAACTAGTAACACCAATTTAAAATTACTCAAATAAATTTTGTAAATCTTTCATTAACCAAAATGAGTTCATCTGAGCTTCAGTAAGCTTAATAAGCATAATAGATTGAAGAGATCAAATATCTACATCCATGAATATAGTATGATGGAAAAAGAGAATTGTCCATTAGGGTGGATTACATAATAAATACTTTGTCATGAAAATTGGTTAATACTCAGGAAACTTACTGTGCATTCTCCAGTAGCTCACTCTACCATGGTTGAAAATATAACAGTCAGAAGGAAATGTTCTCATGAAAATGTCCTTAAATAGAAATAGAAATGGAAAAATAGCACTAGAAATTTTTTGTTTTAAAATGTTTTTTGTTGTTTTAATTTTTAACTTGTTTTTTAATTGCTGGCATATTATTTCCTACAGGTATTAAGCTGTTTTAGATGTTACGATCACTGGAAGATATTTCAGCATCATGGTATTTCTGTAACCTTGCCAATACTGCCTGGAGTTTGCTAAAGAAACAGAATTCAGTGCAGGGGAATTCTCTGAACATATTCATCAGTTCTTAGGAGAAAAGTAGTGAACTGCAGAATGAATGAACAATGTCTGAGATTCAAACTGTGGACAAACGTTAGTTCAGTCATACAGTTCTCCAACAAAATTGGGTGGGAAGAGAAGGTAATTGACATAAACAACTCTCAGCTACCTCTGTGGATTTAATGAAAGGTAAATCTGTAATCCAAATGTGTCTTTGCAAACGAAGGACTAAATTTTGCCTAATAGGTTTTACCTGAAAGTCTGAATATCTATAGTTTTCCATGAAATTCATCTTCTGCTTTAGAAAATTAGTCAAACTTAGCATAATATTCTATTATCTACTTTTAGAGTTAAATGTGTCAAGAGCATTAAGAACAGGAACTTGAAAAGAAATCACCTACTATAAAAGTAATTATGTTTCCCTTGAACAATTACTTAATTACTATTCTCATTCATAATTTCTTTTATTTTTAGACTTTCATAATTTACAGTACCCCAAACAGTAAACAGAATTATAAAACTTTCTGAACTATAATTAAGGTTTTTATTTTTAAAAAAACATATGCTACTATTTGTATTGGTAAAAATAACTCAAGAACTTCAATAGAAACAAAATTCTTGACACTAATACAAATGTAAAATATTAATGTCATATAGTAAGTTTTTTTTCTATTAAGGAACTTTAATGACAAAGAACTGGGAATCCACATAGGATTGTGTACATGTATACATACATCTTTGGGCCCCAAGAGAGAGTCCCCTCTGCTACATCTTTTAATATATATAAAGGCCAGTAAAATGTATTTCACAATGTGCTCCTTGGTTAAAGAAATTCCATTGTTAGAAATGAACTTTCAGGGCTGATTAAATCCTTTTGCAGAGCTAACTCAAAAATGTTTGCAATAGTCTTCCTATGCTGCAGAAGCAAAAGTGGAAATTACCACTGTCTCATTCAAATGTGTCCCTGCCCATTCCCTAATGTCAAACAAATCTAAATGAATTTTCATGAGGTAACCCCTACACATCTATTCAACTGCACCCTGTCTATTCTATTCCCTGTACTCCAACAACACATTATTCTTTACATTCACATAGTGAGTCATTCTGTTTTGTAATGCATGGTCTTTATTCTATCACAAAAGGTTTTTGGAATATTTGAAAGAGCGAAATGATTACTGAATGTTCCTGTCTAGTGCATCCTTTGAAGCCATTTCGCTCTTTCATAGCTCTTTAGGTACTGAACAATTCTATACATTGTTAAACACTAACAAGCTTGTTTACATAAATGCAGATTAATCTAATTAGAATGCATTTCATTTCTGTCATAGGGATACTAATACATTTTGTGGAAATTTATAGATTTTATAGATCCATTTCAGAAATCCTAATGACTAACATGTATGTGATGTCTATCGAGATTTTCTTTGGAATGTCACATAGCATCTTATCTGCTATCTCCTCAATTTGTTATTTAAAATTGTAGCTATATATTTTATTAACATGCTTAGAAGAGTTATGATTTAACCTTTTAAAGTGCTAAGTAATGAGAACTGAAATTGTCATTTTAGATTGTTCATTATCTTGTTCATTTGGAGACAATGATTAATCTTTAAGCTCTGGCTTACTTACTGACACATTTCTTTTCTTATGCCATATGTTTGCTTAGCTAGACAAAACTGAATGTACAACATCTATTTAGCTAGCAATTAATGTTGACTTGATTATGCTTTCACAGAGCAGCTTGGTATGTTCTATTGCTTCTGATTGGTGCTTACAGAAAATTATTCATGTGTTAAAGAGATCACTAACTACACAAGTTGTA